TCTGCCCCGGGATCTGATAGAATCAAGTTCAACTTGCTAAAAAACCTCCCAGACGTCGCTAAGAGGCGCATGTTGAACTTGTACAATCAGTTCTTGGAGCTCAATATTGTTCCCGACGATTGGAGACGAGTAAGGGTGATAGCCATTAAAAAGCCTGATAAACCCGCGTCGGATCACAATTCGTATCGGCCCATCGCGATGCTGTCGTGTATTCGGAAATTGATGGAGAAAATGATCCTTTTTCGCCTCGACAAATGGGTTGAGACGAACCACCTTCTTTCAGATACTCATTTGGTTTCCGTACGACTGTCTCGCGTTGCTTTCCTCGGAAATTCAGTTAGCTTTTGCTAAGAAAGAGCAAATGGCTTCTGTGTTCTTGGATATCAAGGGGGCTTTTGATTCAGTATCCGTTGAAGTTCTTTCAGAGAAACTCCACGCTTGTGGATTGTCTCCATTAATGAATAATTTTTTGTACAATTTGCTGTCAGAAAAACATATGAGCTTTTCTCATGGAAACTCTACAGCTTTTCGATTTAGCTACATGGGTCTCCCCCAAGGCTCATGTTTAAGCCCCCTTTTGTACAATTTCTACGTTAGAGAAATTGATGTCTGTCTTAGTGACAATTGCACGTTGAGACAACTTGCAGATGACGGCGTAGTGTCTATCACAGGGCCAAAAGAGGTTGACCTGCAAGGACCCTTACAGGATACCTTGGACAATTTGTCTACTTGGGCTATTCAGCTAGGTATCGAATTCTCCACGGAGAAAACTGAGTTGGTCGTTTTTTCTAGGAAGCATAGCCCAGCACAACCGAAGCTTAAACTTTTGGGTAAACCGATCACTCATTCCATGTCTTTTAAATATCTCGGGGTCTGGTTCGATTCCAAATGCACCTGGAGATCCCACATTGAGTATCTGAGACGAAAATGCCAACTAAGGATCAATTTCCTTCGATCAATTACCGGAACGTGGTGGGGAGCCCATCCACAAGATCTTCTGACGTTGTAGCGGACAACGATTTTATCGGTTTTAGAGTACGGTAGTTTTTGCTTCCAGTCGGCAGCTAAAACGCACATCATCAAGCTGGAACGGATCCAGTATCGTTGTCTTCGTATCGCGTTAGGATGCATGCACTCGACTCATACTATGAGTCTCGAAGTGCTGGCGGGCATGTTGCCACTATCCGTCCGTTTTTCCGAGTTATCTCTGAGGCTCCTCACCCGTTGCGAAGTAATGAACCCACTGGTGATTGCAAATTTTGAGAAGCTTCTGGAGCTAAATCCTCAAACATGTTTTATGACTTTATACTACCTATATTTAACACAGGATGTCAGCCCTTCAAGAAATATTCCCAATCGTGTAATCTTCTCCGATTTCGGCAATTCAGTGAATTTTGATTTATCTATGACATAGGAAATCCGCGGAATTCCAGAGCATCATCGTCCTATGATTGCTCCGTCAATTTACGCTGCAAAGTTTGGCCATGTTGATTCTGCAAGAACGTTTTTCACAGATGGATCTCTAATAGAGGAGTCCGCTGGTTTTGGTGTATTTAATGAATTTCATAGCGCCTCTCGAAAACTTGAAGCTCCTTGTTCTGTGTATGTGGCTGAACTAGCAGCAATTCACTACACTTTGAAAAGTATTGCTTCAGTTCTTCCAGACCACTACTTTATTTTTACGGATAGTCTCAGTTCTGTCGAGGCTATCCGTTCCATTAGGCCGGTAAAGCACTTCTCGTATTTTCTCTTAAAAATACGAGAACTGCTTAGTGCTTTATCCGTGCGCTCTTTCATCATCACCTTCGCGTGGGTCCCTTCGCATTGCTCAATTTTGGGCAATGAGAAGGCGGATTCACTTGCGAAGGTGGGCGCTATGGAAGGCGACATTTATGATCGACAGATCACCTATAGTGAATTTTTCTCTATTTATCGTCAGCAGTCGCTCGTTAGCTGGCAACATCAATGGAGTGAAGGGAGCTTGGGACGATGGCTACATTCAATTATCCCTAAGGTGTCGAAGTTTGCATGGTTCAAAGGGTTGGACTTGGGTCGAGACTTCATACGCGTGATGTCTCGTCTCATGTCCAATCACTATTGTCTAAACGCTCACTTGTTCCGTGTGGGGTTGGGAGACAGCAATCTCTGTGAATGTGGACAAGGTTTCCAGGACGCTGATCACATCCTTTGGTCTTGTGCGGAGTATCGTGGAGTCAGATCACATTTTTATGATTCCCTTCGGGCTCGAGGTAGACAACCTAATGTTCCAGTTCGGGATATTTTGGCTAGACGCGATCTGGAGTTTATGAAACTCATATATGTTTACTTTAAGGATATTAACCTTAGATTGTAAGTTTGATTAACCTTGTGTTTAGTTTGTATTTTGTACGTGTGGGTTTTTTTTTCAATGTTTGTTTTCAAGATGAATAGAAATAATTTCATGCTTTAGGATTAATTAAATAGTTGTATCGTAAACCACATTTCAAACCTCCTTCTTCCCTTTTCCCATCCAAAAAATTGTAAATCTCCACTAACCTCGAGACAACCGCGAGTACTCGGTCCAGTTCCTTTAACTTTAAATTTAAGACAGTAATAATGTATAACGCAAAGGATAACTCGGCTCTGTAAAGTTTATTCGATTGAGCCTGTACAAATAAAGTTATTATAAAAAAAAAAAGATCATTTGTATGGGATTCTGAAAAAATCCAAGGATCATTCTAAGAACGTTATTAAGAACACTCCAAAGAAATCCTATGAACAGTTCAAAGGGTTTTCCGAGAATAATTTCCATGGTAATCAAGTTCTAAGGGAATTTTCGAACTATTCTGAAGGAAATTCCAAGCGGAGTAAACGTTGTCTCAATTCTTGGGTATGGTCGAATTGATACAAAAAAAACACCTTCACGACAATCTCTTGCTCTAGAAATTAATATCCTGTTCTCTCACAACCTTTCTATCATTGAACCGAATGGATTCGGTGCCCAACGTGATAGCCAGCCCGCAGCTGTTCCGATGATGGGCACTTTTCCCATCAAAAAAGCTGAACGAGTAAAAATAATCAGCAAATTTTGTTTGTCTTAGCACTCAATCAATCAAGTTTATCACTGCTAGAGCTCGATAGCAGCCCTCCGGATGACTGCAAGTGACTGAGAGTGACTCATAGATAGGACAAAAAAGTGCTGCCATTTTTTCCCCGCTCGTTCGTCCGACTGATACCGGTCCATGATATCATGCAAACCAACGGACTGTCATTAGAATCATTCGAACGAATGATCCGGCTTTTTGCTTGAGAAAAAAAAAATCAAGCTCCAAGCACACAGAATGACACAAAACAAAATGGCTTTGGTGAGGGGATTTGAATTTTCGGTCACACTCCATTTACCTCGCATTCAACTTCCGCCATTAGCCAACCCGAGAATGGATACATGTCTGATAATTGGATATTTTCTCCCCAACAGAAAGACTCGCTACTAATGCGGAAATAAACCGATGAGGTGTGAACGATCCTACATTAAACCAACCCACACACACACACACATGGAGAGGAGCGATTTTCCGCATTCCCATCTCATCTTTAATGGCGAAGGATTACTGCCGGGGCCGGGGTTGAAGTGAAAAGATTTTCCAAGAAACATTCAGAGGGATTGGATTTCTTCCCCTCTCTTTGAGAAGCTTTCGGGTGTTGCGTGGATTAGTCTTGGGATGGAATTACGGCGAGGAATTAGCTTGAGATTAATTACCACCGACTAACTGGGGAATTTGTTGGTGTGTTGTTTTGCCTCAACAAAAGGAACAAGCGCAATCAATTTCGTCTGGGCTAGGTGCGAGAAAACGGAATTTGAGGTTATGTTTTGGTGGGTCGTCGTCGTTGCCGGCGCTCCCGATGGGAATGGCAGTAATATCAAATTTGGGACGAACTAATAAACTGACCGGACGTGACCCAATTGAAAGGAGATGGCATTTGATCCGGGCACGAACCAAGGACAATTGCCCGTGGGGAGTATGGAAGAGTTTTTGTTTTGTTTGCCGAAGCAAGTTGTCTTACCATGGAAGATGCCATTATGAAAGATTTATCTTTAAGTCAATTTTAGACAGTAACACATGCCTCCTATTTTGAAAGATTTTTGATATTTGATCAAATTACAATCTTCTTGAGTTTTGTGGGCTATATGTATAATATGTACTCCAATGAATATGATTTGAATCAACAATCTTTACACAACTCAAGATTTAAAACTAATCAAATTATGTTTGACAATGATGCGTTTCCCCTTTTAGAACCAACTGGGAGTGAAAAATATACAATTATCGCCAATAACAGATGATTTTACCAACGACCATCACTGATGGCAAATAATATCAAGCCAAGCTCGTGTTAACCCAAATTGTAACAGTTCAAAATAGGAACCACTTGCCTACACTCTAGTGGAGGACGTGTAAAGAGCACAATAGTGAACTAAATTTTGCGGTTTAATTAAGTTTCGTACTTGGCACGTCCCGGAATCTCGTGCTCGTGAAAAGTATTAACATAGGCAGTAGTTTTGGGAAGCCTTCTTGCGCCATCTCCATCATGACGTGTAGCTATCGCCAGCTGGCCAGTAGTGGTTAGTGCGGTTACCGGAAAACACACTAATGAGTGGGCGGAGGAGCGGGGGGAGGGCGTGTTTGCTGGAATTTAATTCCGTCTGATGGAATATTTCGGCACTCTCCGCAGTTGAAACGATGGACGTGGCACTGCTATATAGACTCCTCAAACATCCGGCCGGGCTTTCGAAACTGAAGTGCAAATGAAGCGTAAAATTGTCTTTGTGTGGTTTGGAGGTGCAGAAGAGCGACGGTTGTTTGACTGAACGATAGATGGGTTGGAGCGCTGTGGTGAATGATGGCTCCAAGTGATGTGTCGATACATTTTCATCTCACTCCCGCTTGATCATGATATGCAAATGGCGTTCTACGTACTACATAGATGGATTGATGGAAGGAATGCAGCAGGATACTCACCAGCACGAGAACCTCCCAGCTGCACAGCAGCAGGACATCACCAGCAGCGAGCCGGTCGACGATGACAATGATGTTGATGATGACGGTGGTATCCGTTTGAGTCGCACTATTTTTGCTGGATGTCCGAGAAGAGGGGCTTTCCGTCTATGTCTATGTATGAGTATGTTTGTGCGTTCAGACCCAAATCGGTTCGGTTTGTTGATGACACCCTCTTTCCCTCTCTTCCCCGACGATGGTGGAGCCTTGGCTGGCGGATTGCCAAAATTCTCGATGACTTGTTGTCACTCTGCTTGGGGAAGGCCCCGGGAAGGCGACACTGACGATGATGATGACCAAGGCTCAAACGATGTGTTCTAGGTTTGGTCCGTGTGTCCGCAGCCGGAACGAAAGTGTTTAAAATTCAATTAAAAATAAATTTGATACACAACCGACAGCCGGTCCTGGTCCGAACGGCAGAGCGGATGCTATGCTCTGACATTAATTTATGATTAATTCCCCATCCGGGGCGCATATCAGATCAGGTGAATGCTTCTGATGCGATGCGGTGTGGTCGTCGTACGTCAACAGGGTCTTTTTTTTCCCTCGCAATTGTTGAATGCAGTGGGCACGTGTTTCTCTTGGCGGTTGGGTTAAATTGAGGCCACACTGATGACGTCGTCACCTGGGGAGTGAGAAAGAGAAAGAGAGAGATATTTAGTGGAAATGGTGTGAAATGGATCAGAACAAATGGGTTTGCTATCGATACTCTTATAACTGATGCACATGAGTAATGGAAAGGCTACATTAGTGCGCTGTTGAAAGTATGGCATTGCAAATCTCGCTGATCAAATTGGTTTTAAAAATGGATTTGTTTGTTTATTGGATTGATGTTTTGTTGATGTGGCTTTCGCATCGTTCGTTAGATTGGGTTATTTTGTCTCGCATTGACTACTGACGCTCTCGATAACCCGCGGTGGCGCGAGTGATACTGCGACAGCTGCGAAGAAGCTGCTTGACAACAATCGGTTCTTAGTTTTGAAGGACGGTGCAGAGCCGGTGACGGTAACAATGCCGCCGAATCAACTCTCGTGCTTCGGAGCCCGGAACGCGCCGTAGAAAGCCTCGTGGAAGCCCCCCCCATCCCTCCGTCTCAGTCCAGCCATTTGCTGCCGCCGCTCACCATAGTCGTTCCGGATCTGTAGTCTGATGTCACTATGGCGAGTATCCGCATGGGATTGTTAATGTTCAATCGCTGCCTGATGCTTCCGTGATTTCCAGGGAGAACAGACGTTCGATTGTAAGCCGCAAGCAGGACATCGTGATTTTCTTCCAAAACACCGGCGGAATTAATTCTGATGTTGACGACTACCGGCTTGCTGTATCGGATCGTTGCTATGATGTGATTGTCCTATGCGAGACGTGGCGAACGCTTTCCAGCCAGGTGTTCGGATCCGATTAAAGGGTGATACGGTCAAAATTTGGTCAATATCAACTTGACGTATTTCTTTCAATTTTGCATTTAAAAAACCTGAACACCCCTCATTTTGAAGGTGTGTGTGTGTAGAATGTTGCTCCTATTTTGATTTTGGAATTCACTCTTCAGTTGTCAAAATGCCGTCCAAGCAAGAAGAGCAGCGTATCAAAATTTTGCTCGCGCATCGCGAAAATCCGAGCTACTCGCACGCAAAGTTGGCAAAATCGCTAAAAGTTGCCAAATCAACCGTTACAAATGTAATTAAAGTGTTTGGGGAACGTTTGTCGACAGCCAGGAAGTCTGGATCGGGGGGAAATCGAAAACCGGAAGCCGCTGAGACGACAAAGAGAGTTTCCGGTAGTTTCAAGCGAAACCCTAACCTCTTTCTCCGAGATGCCGCAAATAAGCTGGGTGTATCGTCTACAACCGTGCATCGAGCCAAAACACGAGCCGGACTATCGACTTACAAGAAGGTAGTGACTCCAAATCGCGATGATAAACAAAATACGACGGCCAAAGCGCGATCCCGGAGGCTGTACACGACGATGCTGACAAAGTTTGACTGCGTGGTAATGGACGACGAAACCTACGTCAAAGCCGACTACAAGCAGCTTCCGGGACAGGAGTTTTATACGGCAAAAGGAAGGGGAAAGGTAGCAGATGTTTTCAAGCACATGAAACTGTCAAAGTTCGCAAAGAAATATCTGGTTTGGCAAGCCATCTGTACCTGTGGCTTGAAAAGCAGCATTTTCATAGCTTCCGGGACTGTCAACCAAGAAATTTACGTGAAATAGTGTTTGAATAAACGTCTGCTGCCTTTCCTGAAGAAACACGGTTGTTCCGTACTGTTTTGGCTGGATTTGGCATCTTGCCATTACGGTAAAAAGGCCATGGAGTGGTACGCCGCCAACAACGTGCAGGTGGTTCCCAAGGACAAGAACCCTCCCAACACGCCAGAGCTCCGCCCAATTGAGAAATACTGGGCTATTGTCAAGCGGAACCTAAAGAAGACCAAAAAAACTGCTAAGGGCGAGCAGCAGTTCAAGGCAAACTGGCTTTCTGCGGCGAAGAAGGTGGACAAGGTGGCTGTACAAAATCTGATGGCAGGGGTCAAGCGTAAGGCCCGGCAATTCGGATTTGGAAAAGCGGAAGCCTAACTGAATATTTTTCCTGAATTTTATACTAATTGAACTTGAAAAAGAAATTTAATTTGATTTTCTAAATAAACGATTTCACCGATTTACACGCGTTTTCCCTTGACCAAATTTTGACCGTATCACCCTTTATGAGGTTTTTCGTTGCGATCGGAACAAAAATCTACTGGTGGCGTTCTTGTCGCTGTCCGTTCTGGATTGGAGGCGAGTGCAATTGAAAATGAATCGTGGAACAGTGTGGAACAGGTTTGGACAGCCATTAATCTGGGCGATCGCACACTATTTTTGTGCGCATTGTACATGCCTCCAGATCGAGTTCGTGATCTTGAACTCATCGAAACTCACTGTCAATCAGTCTTCACAGTAATGGAAAGAGCGACTCAAATTGATGAGCTGTTCATTTTTGGGGACTTTAACCTAGCAGGCGTTTCGTGGAGACCATCCCATAGCGACTTCCTCTATCCAGATCCAGAACGTTCTGTATTTCATGCAGGAGCTATCGGCCTTCTCGATAACTATAGCGTAGCAACGCTTTCTCAAATTAACCACGTAGTCAACGAGAACAACTGTAGTTTGGACCTCTGCTTCATGAGCACTCAGGACAATGCTCCGTTCATTTCCACAGCACCTTGTCCACTAGTTAAGCTTGTTCCGCACCACCCTCCTCTGATTGTCACTGTTGAGGACAATCTCGTTCGTGATTTCGATAGTCTTCCTGCTGCAGTTTCTTATGAATTTCGATAGGCCGACCATCGAAGCATTGTAGATGTGTTGTCAAACATGGACTGGGAGAACATTCTCGATCATGACGACGTTGAGGCTGTTGCGCAAACTTTTTCTCATGTCTCGGCATATGTCATTAACAGACACGTTCCGAAAAGAATTCACCGCAAAGACTCTCACCCTCCCTGGCAGACGATTGAGCTGCGTAGGTTAAAGTCGACTAAGAGAGCAGCATTGAGAAGATTTACGAAGTATCGCACGCTTCCTCTGAAACATCACTACGTGAGGCTTAATCACGAGTATCAGCGAGCCAGTCGTCGATGCTTTCTGCGATTTCAACGAGGTATTCAGCGAAACCTTAAACTACACCCCAAATCCTTCTGGAACTACGTGAACGAGCAACGCAGAGAATCTGGCCTCCCATCGTCAATGAAATTGAACAGTGAAGTCGCTTCCACTCCGCAGGATATTTGCTGCCTTTTTTCTGTCAATTTTGCCAGTGTGTTCACTGATGAGAGACTAAGTGACGGCCATGTATCCCTCGCAGCCAGGAATATCCCACTAAATGGTCAAATGCTGGGTGCAATTGATGTCAACGTTGAGATGATTTCTAACGCTGCAACGCAGCTCAAATCGTCCTTCAACCCTGGACCCGATGGAGTTCCGTCCGTGTTTTTGAAGAAACATATTACTTGCTTGTTAACTCCACTTCACCGTCTATTCCGTATGTCACTCTCCAGTGGTATATTTCCATCCTCCTGGAAATTTGCACACATGTTTCCTGTCCACAAAAAGGGAAGCAAACGAGCCGTGGATAACTATCGTGGAATTACATCGCTGAGTGCTGTTTCGAAACTATTCGAGCTTGTTATTATGGAACCGTTGCTCTCTCACAGCAAGCAGTATCTGAGTGCTGATCAACACGGGTTTACTGGAGGACGCTCTACAACCACCAATCTGCTATGCCTCACATCCTACATTACCGATAGTATGACTGAACGGGTACAGACGGACGTTATATATACCGATCTATCCGCGGCATTCGATAAGTTGAATCATGACATTGCGATTGCTAAACTCGACAGGCTTGGGGTGAGCGGTAATCTCTTGAGTTGGTTCCGTTCGTATCTTACTGGTCGCCAACTTATGGTTGCTATAAGAGATTGCAAATCAGCTAGCTTCTTTGCCACATCAAGTACCTATACCGCAGGGAAGCCATCTGGGAGCGTTGATTTTTCTACTCTACTTCAACGACGTGAATCTGGTTATCGAAGGACCTCGATTATCATATGCAGACGACCTCAAAATATTTTTACGAATTTGCTCGATCGCTGACTGCCACAATCTTCAACATCAGCTTAATGTCTTCGCCAGTTGGTGTACTTTAAATCGAATGGTAGTGAACCCAGCAAAGTGCTCTGCCATAACGTTCTCACGAAAAAAGCAACCGATTGTATTCAGCTATGACCTGCTTGGAACGACACTCGAACGCGTGAATCAGGTGAAAGACCTGGGTGTGGTGTTGGATTCACAGCTAACATTCAGGCAACACATTTCTTATGTCATCGATAAGTCGACTAGGACTTTAGGATTCATCTTCAGGATAGCTAAGAATTTCACCGATGTCTACTGCTTAAAATCTCTTTACTGCTCCCTCGTACGATCGACGCTTGAGTATTATTCTGCGGTTTGGAATCCGAACTACAACAATGGTGCCGAGACAATCGAACCTGTTCAACGTCGCTTTCTTCGTTTTGCGTTTCGTAGACTGCCCTGGAGAGATCCGCTTCGGCTGCCAAGCTACGAGAGTCGCTGCCAACTGATAAACCTTGAACCTCTCCGGATTAGAAGGGACACCAGCAGAGCTTTGATTATCGCCGACACTCTACAGGGACGAATAGATTGTGAGGCTATCCTGAGGCAAATTGACCTAAACGTGCAACCCCGACCACTCCGTAACAACCTCATGCTGAGACTGCCACTGCGTCGCACGAACTACGGGGCATATGGTGCGATTTGCGGACTACAGCGTGTGTTCAATAGAGTCGCATCTGTATTCGACTTTCACCTCACACGTGATGCGCTTCGTCGGAGATTCTCATCTGTTTTTGCCGGCCGCAGTGACTGACAGAGAAAATTAGTCTATTTCCATTTATGTTTTTACATTCTGACCATGTTGCTTTGGTTTTCTTTCTGTGATTATTTGACATGTAATTTTACTATTATTATTATTATGATTAGTATTATTAACATCATTTTGCGCTACAGCCAGCCTGTTGATGTATGGCAACAATAAATAAACAGGACCGCCGAAAAAGGACAGTATGCTGC